GGGGACACCTTGGGGACACCCCAGGGTCATCATGGGGATGGGGGACACCTTGGGGATACCCCAGGGATGGAGGCACCTTGGGCACCCCCCAAGGGATGGGGTCACCAGAGGAAAGGGGTGACATGGGGACACCCTGGGGACACCTGGGGGATGGGGACATCCTGGGGACACCCCAAGGGATGGGGTCACCAGGGGAAAGGGGTGGCATGGGGACACCATGGAGACAGGGACATCTTGGGGATGGGGACACCTTGGGGACACCCCAGGGTCATCATGGGGATGGGGGACACCTTGGGGATACCCCAGGGATGGAGGCACCTTGGGCACCCCCCAAGGGATGGGGGACACCAGGGGAAAGGGGTGACATGGGGACATCCTGGGGCTGGGGACACCTTGGGGATGGGGACATCCTGGGGACACCTCCCAAGGGATGGGGTCACCAGGGGAAAGGGGTGGCATGGGGACACCATGGAGACAGGGACATCTTGGGGATGGGGACACCTTTTGGACACCCCAGGGTCATTCTCGGGATGGGAACACCCCAGGGATGGGGACACCAGGGAAAAGGGGTGGCATGGGGACATCCTGGGGACATCTGGGGGATGGGGACACCCTGGGGACAACCCAGGGATGGGGGCACCTTGGGCACCCCTCAAGGGATGGGGTCACCAGGGGAAAGGGGTGGCATGGGGACTCCCTGGGGACATCCTAGGGTCATCCTGGGGCTGGGGACACCTTGGGGACACCCAAGGGATGGGGACACCAGGGGAAAGGGGTGGCATGGGGACATGCTGGGGACACCCTAGGGTCATTCTGGAGCTGGGGACACCTTGGGGACGGGGACACGTTGGGGACACCCCAGAAATAGGGATACCTAAGGGTCATTCTGGGGATGGGGACACTCTGGGGACAGGGACATCTTGGGGACACCCCAGGGATGAGGGACACTTAAGGGTCATTCTGGGGATGGGGACACTCTGGGGACAGGGACACCCTGGGGACACCCCAGGGATAGGGACACCAGGGAAAAGGGGTGGCATGGGGACATCCTGGGGACACCTGGGGGATGGGGACACCCTGGGGACAACCCAGGGATGGGGGCACCTTGGGCACCCCTCAAGGGATGGGGTCACCAGGGGAAAGGGGTGGCATGGGGACTCCCTGGGGACATCCTAGGGTCATCCTGGGGCTGGGGACACCTTGGGGACACCCAAGGGATGGGGACACCAGGGGAAAGGGGTGGCATGGGGACATGCTGGGGACACCCTAGGGTCATTCTGGAGCTGGGGACACCTTGGGGACGGGGACACGTTGGGGACACCCCAGAAATAGGGATACCTAAGGGTCATTCTGGGGATGGGGACACTCTGGGGACAGGGACATCTTGGGGACACCCCAGGGATGAGGGACACTTAAGGGTCATTCTGGGGATGGGGACACCCTGGGGATGGGGACACGTTGGGGACACCCCAGGAATGGGGACACTTAAGGGTCATTCTGGGGATGGGGACACCCTGGGGATGGGGACACGTTGGGGACACCCCAGGAATGGGGACACTTAAGGGTCATTCTGGGGATGGGGACACTCTGGGGACAGGGACACCCTGGGGACACCCCAGGGATAGGGACACCAGGGAAAAGGGGTGGCATGGGGACATCCTGGGGACACCTGGGGGATGGGGACACCCTGGGGACAACCCAGGGATGGGGGCACCTTGGGCACCCCTCAAGGGATGGGGTCACCAGGGGAAAGGGGTGGCATGGGGACACCCTGGGGACATCCTAGGGTCATCCTGGGGCTGGGGACACCTTGGGGATGGGGACACCAGGGAAAGCGGGTGGCATGGGGACACCTTGGGAACATCCTGGGGTTGGGGACACCTTGAGGATGGGGACAGACAACCAGGGGACACCCCAGGGATGGGGGCACCTTGGGTAACCCCCAAGGGATGGGGTGACCAGAGGAAAGGAGTGGCATGAGGACACCCTGGGGACACCCTGGGGATGGGGACACCTAAGGGTCATCCTGGGGATGGGGACACCTTGAGGATGAGGACACCCCAGGGATAGGGACACCAGGGAAACGGGGTGGCATGGGGACATGCTGGGGACACCCCGGGACATCCTGGAGATGGGGACACCTTTTGGACACCCCAGGGTCATTCTTGGGATGGGGACACCTTGGGTACCCCCCAAGGGATGGGGTCACCAGGGGAAAGGGGTGGCATGAGGACATCCTAGGTCTAGGGACACCCTAGGGATAGGGACACCAAGGAAAAGGGGTGGGATGTGGACACCCTAGGGTCATCCTGGGGCTGGGGACACGTTGGGGACACGCCAGGGTCATTCTGGGGATGGGGACACCTTGGATTTGGGGACACCCCAGGGATGGGGACACCTAAGGGTCATTCTGGGGATGGGGACACCTTGGGGACACCCCAGGGATGGGGGCACCTTGGGCATCCCCCAAGGGATGGGGCGATCAGAGGATAGGGGTGGCATGGGGACACCCTGGGGACACCCTGGGGCTGGGGACACCTTGGAGCTGGGGACATCTTGGTGCTGGGGACACCATGAGGACAGGGACACCTTGGGGATGGGGACACCCTGGGGACACCCCAGGGATGGGGATACCCTGGGGACATCCTGGGGATGGGGACACCTTGAGGGTGGGGACACCCCAGGGATGGGGACACCAGGGAAACGGGGTGACATGGGGACACCCTGGGGACACCTTGGGGCCACCTCATGGTCATCCTGGAGAAGGGGTCACCTTGAGGTTGGGGACACCTTGGGGACACCCCAGGGATGGGGACACTTTAGGGTCACCCTGGGGAGATGGGCAGCCGTGGGGGTGGCCCAGGGACACCCTTGGGGACAGGGGACACCCTTGGGGACAGGGTCACCCAGGGGTCACGCGGGTTGGGGTCACCTTGGGGACACTGTTGGGGGTGGAGACACCCTGGGGACACCGTG